GCTGTCTTTAGCTGTGAGCCTCTTTTGCTGCATCTCTTTTAAAGTTTTGTGTAAATAACTTTGGTTTTTGCCTTTATAGCATCCGAAGCTGAAGGAGGAACCGAAACTTTCAAAAGATCTAAATTTGGGAGGTAGCCTACAGCAGGAACATCTGTTGGCAGCATGAGATGCAAAAGCTGTGGCTTCTATTCATTTTATAAAGGCCTTCAGGTTCTTTCTCACTTGGTCTGGTGGAACAAGAGCTTTGATGGGTGATGATCATTAAGTATAAGTGGTAGCCAAAGTCAGGCTTAACAATGTCAGATTACTTCTGAATGATTAGTTTAACACTTTCATATGAAATCTGAATATATGATGTTTTCATTGATCTGAAAGAGGAGTTTGCTTGTTTTGATGGATTCAGACTCACCAGAAAAAACTAAATCTTCACAGAAATTCTTTAAAGATGGCCAGACATGCTTAAAGTGAGTTTTTTCCCTGACTTTGGAGACATTAAACGGAGGAATAGTTTACACCTGTAGAACAGAGGGGAGCAGCAAAAAGGCCAAAAGAGGAAGCACATTTCAGTCATTTCCTGTCACACCCGCCTAGTTCAGCTGTTTGTTAGTCTGTCTGTATCCTAGTGAACACTTTGTAATCTTGTTATTTTTGGCTGTTGTATCAAATTAACTCAAATTAAACTTGTGCAGATTCCTGCAGACTTTTTGATGCCTAATCTATCTATCTATCTATCTATCTATCTATCTATCTATCTATCTATCTATCTATCTATCTATCTATCTATCTATCTATCTATCTAGTGTGTTTCGGTTTCCATCACTTCTACGACTGATCTAAACGCACTAAATCAGGAAAGAGTAATTCCGTTTCTTTCACTGAGGGTTAGGTGAGTAATCGGTAGATTGTTAGGTAGGACAGGTGTGTTTAAGGAGGCATGGCGTCCTCCGAGATACCTCCTCCGTCTATCAGGCAGGAGGTGCGGATAGTCCCGCCGGATGGCTCTGTGTCTGGGGTGGTTGTCCGGGACTTGTTGGTGCAGGTTTCCCCGCTGTCAGTGCCATCCACATGGATCCCCGTGTTCCGCCGTTCCTCCCGAACATCCAGCTGGAAAACAAGCTCAGTAGGTTTGGCCAACTGGCAAGCGGCTTCCGAACAATCAATTTGGGATGTAAAGTTCATAAACTGAAGCATGTCCAGTCTTTGAGGCGGCAGGTATTCATGTTCCTGGAGTCCCCTACACAGACACTGGTGTTGTCCTTCAGGGTGAAACACAGGGATGGGCTGTACATGTGATGAGATGTTGGACACAAAACATCCGCATGTCCACACAAACAGAGTTATCCATTGATAAGGCAGTGGAGGAGCGGGAGGAAGCAGACGGGCTCCTGCTGTCTTTTTGAACACCTAAACTGTAGAACTTCTCGAAAACATAAAAGAAGAGCCTGTATGCTGTGTCTGTGAAGGTCCTGAACAGAGCGATGCTGGCAGTGGTCAGAGAGTCGAGGTGGTCTGATGTGTTGGCGCCAGCTTCATCTCTCAGGGGCAGCTGGAGGCCCCTGTGCAATCATCAGCCCACAAAGGTCACGCTGCCTCTTTTCATGCCTTTATGAGGCCTCTCAAACTCAAACTGGACCAACTGCACCAAGGAACCGGAAGAGTACTGGTGGAGGGTTAGGGTTCTTAGAGGGTGCGTTCACTCTTCATTAAAGGTCCCATTAAAATAAGCTTCTGCTTAACTGCTGAACATAAGAATGGTAGATTTAGGTCAGAGTTGAAGCTCTTCGCTGGCTGTTGTGTGTCTGCATTCAGCTGCTCAGACGTTAGTCTGCATGTTTGCTCACCATGTACAATAATGACTAAATCATCAGTTTTAGGGGATTTCATGGCCCCAAAATGAGCTCTGTGCTTCTTTCAGTTTCACAGGCCATATACTGTCGGTCACTGTTTGAAAAAAAGAAAAAAAGCAGAAGGAGTAAAAAAATACACTTTAATAGGCAGAAAGGCAGGAAGTCCAAAAGTGACCCCTAAACAGAGAGGGTTGAGAGGAACCGGCTGCAGAGGGTAAACAATGTTTTCTATCACAGAATAAGTTAAAGACTCAGCTTTTATTGAACAGCTCATTAAAACAGAGGGAGAAGCTGCAGCGAGAAGCCAGCGGCTACCTCACGTTGGAGTACAGACACTCATCGGAGGCGCGCCGCGGCTCAGAACCCCCGCGCAGCCGGGGAACAGTGTACACCACGTCTGAGCCCCCGCTGGGGGCTCTGACCGTGGGGTGGGGGCCCCTGCTGGACAAATCCACCGCTGCGTAGATGGGCTTAGGTGTGCCGGCTGCAGCCTGCAGGAGAGCACAGCTTTTATAGATGCTCCGATACAATCAGCACGGTTTATAGCAGATCTTAGATCAGTGTTTTAAATCCCAGCTTTTCCTCGACCGATGGAACAAAATGGGGAAAAATGAGTGTCTCAGAGCTCTTAGTCTCAGATCGCGTAGGAAAAACTCCTTTGTGATGTCTGGGTGGCAGTCAGGATGGTGTGCATTCACCCTCAGATGTGCATGCAGACCCATTGACTTCCACACTGTGAACAGATGTGCATGCAGACCCACTGACTTCCACACTGTGAACAGATGTGCATGAAGACCCACTGACTTCCACACACACTGAACAGATGTGAACCTTGTCAGAGGCCTGACAGCATCTTGCTTCCAGCCCACAGCTGGAGCATCAGGCCTTTGCAGGAGTTGAGTAACTGGCGTAACTCCATTTAAAGCTGGTTCTTCTCCGTTTTCTTACTTCTGGCTGAGCGCTGTGGGCTGAGAGCAGGCTGTAGTCATCAGCTCCTTGCAGGTTTGTGAAGGAGGCGCAGCTGTAAATAGTGGAGATCTGCACTGGAGGCGTTGTCTGTTGATTCCCTCTGTCGTCCTGATGCAGAAAAAGAGGAAGTAGTTTGTGTTTGCTTTCAGTTTTTCAACAAAAAGGTTCAAAAAGGTTCCTCAAACTCACCTCGTTGATGCTCTCATACTCTGTTTTCTCACAGCGATCTGAAAAAAAACTCTGATTTTAGTTCTGAAAAAGGCTGAACCCCCTCCACCCCCAACAGCAAAGATTCCTCACCCTTTGGGGGGGTCACAGATCTCCTCCTGCAGAACACCAGCAGGGCCACTGAGAACAGGAACACTACAAAGGCCAGAGCCAGACCCACCAACAGTAGCATGTCTGCAGAGGTTTGAGAAGCACCGATTGGTGTGATTCAAGGGAATTCATCAGGTTTTCATCAGGATTACATATGGGTTCATTATGGTACTGAGCTCCTGCATTAAGAGATTGAAAAACACCAGAGGAAACCATCATTTCTGGCTGTGAGAGGAAAAGACTCAACCACCAGGAAACCCTGAGCTGCTAATAAACTCTGTACCTTTAGAGGCTGCTCCTTCCTGCTGAGGAGGCTCAGCAGAGTGAGAGGAAGCTGTAGGTTTGGAGCTCCCTGAGCTGGAGCTCCAGCTCTGAGTGGAAGCTGCTGGGACATCTGTTGGTTTATAACCTGTTGGAGTGGAAATTGCTGGGACATATGTTGATTTATAAGCTGTTGGAGCTGCTGACACATGACGAAAAAGAAAAAGAAGACATGGAGACCAAACACTGTGTTCAGACTCAGGTGGACAGTTCATCATGGTGCACATCAGGTGGTTCACAGATGATGAACCTCTAAAAATCCTCCACACACATTCAGAGGATTTTCATTCAATAGAAACTCACCAGCTGAGACCTGGATGCTAAATTCTGTGGATCCATCAGGTCCAATCCTGTCCATATAACATCTGTACCGTCCTGAGTCAGACTGGGTCAGCTGTGTGATGCTCACATACAGATATCCTCCTAAATACTTTCCATCCACAAATCCAATCCTGTATCTGCCCTTTTCAGCTCTGACACCATCTGTCTGGACAAGAATCTTTCCTCCGTTCGAACAGTCTCCTCTGCAGAACAATATCTTGCTTCCAGATACTTGAAAGCTGCATCCGACTGTCAGAGAGCTTCCAGCTTCTATGTTGAAGGGTTCTTGTTGGCTTTTTTCCAGCAGAGCTGTTAAAGAAAAACAGTGGCAGTTATTTCTGGAGCAGAAGAAGAAATGAACTAAAACTGAACTGAAACTGAACTAGAACTGAACTAAAAACTGAACTAAAACTGAAATAAACTGAAAAACTGAAATAAATCTGATCTAAAACTGAACTAAAACTGAAGTGAAACTGAACTAAAACTGAACTAAAACTGTAGTTAAACATCAGAAGCTCTCAGTGAAACCCATAAACTCACCTTCAGCTACAACCAGCTCCACATCTGTGTGTGAAACTCTGCCCACAGCACAGCGGTAGCGTCCTGAGTCCGACCGGGTCAGACCTGTGATGCTCACCGGCAGAACCTGTTCATTGTAATGGATCCTGTATCGTCCCCGTTCAGCCGGATTGGAGTTTGTCTGGATGAGCTTGTTTTCTCCATCACAGTTTTCTCTGCAGAATGACTTCACCTCCCTCCTTCCAGATGTGGAGAAGCTGCACTTCATGGTGACGTCTCCTCCAACGTGTCCATAGAAAAGCTCCAGTCCATGAGCAGAAGAGCTGTTTGCTGCCTGCAGAGCTGCAGAAAAGACGAAGCGTCAGCAGTTAATCTTTGAGTCTCCTGAGAGGTGCTGCAGTCTGATCCCAAC